CCTACAGGTGCTGGGAACACCAACCCGGGAACAGATCCGAGAGATGAACCCCAACTACACGGAGTTCAAGTTCCCCCAGATTAAAGCTCACCCGTGGACAAAGGTGGGGCAGGGCAAGGAGCTCAGGCATCATGGCTAAGATCCCTGTTGGAGGCCAACTAGTCTGGGGACCTGGCTATGGAGTTAAGGTTTGGGAGTGGGCCAGTAACTTTCATCAGATTGTTTGTGGAATTTCCTGTACTCTAAAAGTTGAGGACCCACAGTGGACTCAGGAGTCTCATTTTTCTGGTGGGGAAATAGGCTCACAGCAGGTGCCATACAGTCCAGGCTGTTCAGGCGATACAAACTGAGCTCCCTCTTAGGGATTGTGCCTCAGTTTCCTTATTTGGAAAGTGGGTTTGTAGGAGGCAGGCAGTCACGTTCGCTGCCAGCACTGTGGCAGTATGCCAGTTCCTGGGGAATCTCACCCTCATGACCTGTGTCCCGCCTACCCCCAAGGTGTTTAAATCTCGAACGCCGCCTGAGGCCATCGCGCTCTGCTCTAGCCTGTTGGAGTACACGCCGTCCTCGAGGCTCTCCCCGCTGGAAGCCTGTGCCCACAGCTTCTTTGATGAACTGCGATGTCACGGAACCCAGCTCCCCAACAACCGCCCGCTTCCCCCCCTCTTCAATTTCAGTCCTGGCGGTGAGGGCACAGCCTGGGATCTGGGGAGCTGGAGGGGCAGCCAGAGATCATGGAGAAGAGCTAGTGTCGAAGATGGGAGTGGGGAGCTGAGAGTGGGTGACAGGAGGCCTGGGGCTCGGGAGAGGCCCCCCCGATTCAGGGAGACCTGAACCTGCACCCGCGCCCTGCGATCTCCTGTGCTAGGCTCTTTCCAGTTTTTCATTTAAAGTATGTGTGCCCTCAAACGCTTGGCCTTGCCAAGAACTGGGTCCCGCGTTCAGTGCCCCTTTCAAATCCCAGCTGGATCTCTAGAAGCCCTGCCTTCTGACTGGACATGTCCATTCCTGTCTCTAGAACTCTCCATCCAACCATCTCTCAATGCCATTCTCATCCCTCCTCACTTGAGGTCCCCGGCGAGCACTGCCACCCTCACCCCATCCTCACAAGGTAAGTTGGGGTAAAGCAGCATTTCTTAGCCTGGGCAGCAGGCCTGTTCTTACAGCCCCTGAGTTTCCTGCAGGTACTTGAAAATAGCTGACGGTTTGATGGTATAGAAAGCATATTTTACAACATGCGAATGGCCACTTGTGTTGGGCATTATTGCCTATATATTTGTGTTGAAATGCTAAGTGGGAAACCAAAGACATGTTTGGCCTGTACAAACAGTTGAAGTTGTTGCCTACGTTTAAAAATTGGGGCCATTTCACGTACAATTTAGATTTCCTGTTTCTCTTGGGAAGAAAATCCGATAGGGCAGCAGTGGGCCTGCTCCTCAGACTGAGCTGTAGCTGCCCTTTGATGTGGGGCCTGGCTTTTTGGTGAGTCACTCAGTGACCAACCTGGCCCTTTGGCATGTGAGTTTGCAACTCTGGACCCAGAGTGACAGTTTTCAAATTCTGATGTAGCCATTCCACACTGAGTTCCTGTTCTTGGGGGTTTGGGCTGGAGTTCTGAAAGGCAAAGACTAACTGTCTGCTCTTTCCTCCCCCTCAGCTTTAAGTGAGACTCAGAGCAGCTCAGAATGGCAGCCAGCTGATGCCACAGCTCCCCTCACTAACTCCTCCTGAGGGCCCCGCCAACTACCCTTCCATCTGGGAGCCCCAAGTGGGGCTGGGAAGGGGGGCCAAAGCCCATCAAGCTCCTGCTCTGGCTGGGCCCCTAGACAAGAGGGCAGAGGTAAATGAGTCCCTGTTCCCACCTCCTGTCCCTCCCTCACCAGCCTCACCCCTATGGTGGGCTTTTTAAGAGGATTTTAACTGGTCATGGGGAGGGAAGAGAAGGATGGACGGGGTTGGGGGCTTGAGGACCTCCTACCCCCTTGGCCCCCTCCCCTCTCCCCAGGCCTCCACCTCCTCCAACCCTCCTCCCCTCCTGTGTCCCTTGTAAATAGAACCAGACCAGCCAGTCTCCTCCTTTTCCCTTTCCTGGCCCCCGGGTGTAAATAGATTGTTATAATTTTTTTCTTAAAGAAAAACGTCGATTCGCACCGTCCAACCTGGCCCCTCCCCTTCCTACAGCTGTGTTTCTCTTCTACAGCTGTGTCTCCCTCCTTCCCTCTGCCCTAAGGTCTTCTCCCTCCTCTCCTCACCCTAGAGGGCCGGGGTGGGGGGCTCCTGATGTCTTAGTTTCCACAGTAAGGTTTGCCTGTGTACAGACCTCCGTTCAATAAATTATTGGCATGAAAACCTGCTCCTGTCTGGCTGCCTGTTTCCACAGAGGTGAGGGCGGTGCCTGGTGGGCTGTCCTGGGAAAGGAGTGGGCTGCATCTCAGGAAGGGGGACGGGATAGAGTGAATGCAGGCTGGGCCATGAGAGGCCTGAGTCTGGGTCCTGGCTCAGGTACCCAGCCTTCCTGTGCAGGGACGAGCTGATTGGCTTACCTGCTGCAGAGGCCTGAGAGGAGCCTATCCCCGGGACCCAGCATGAACTATGTGCTTCCACCTAGGGAGGCACTGTTACCCCCAAGTGACCTGTGAGAGAACTGGGGATTAGGTCATGGCCACAGCGTAAGTGGCAGAGTCGATTTGAACAAAGAGCTGTCTCAGCCCGTGCTGCCTGCTGCTTCAGGGTCTGGAGGACATACAACTAACCCAGTGTAGACCCTTAACAGGCATGCATGGGAGCAAAGGCACTGACCCTGAACCCTAGCAGATCTACAAGCTTTCATTTCTATGTCTCAAATGGGATGCCGACCATGCCTGCCTCCTAGGGGTGCTGGGAAGTGACACCCCTGAGAAGGTTGGTGCAGAGAGCCTGGCTTTTACCCTCACTTAGAAAACATGCTGGGGCCGGAGGGGAGGGCCGTGAGCAAGGGAAATGGCATCCCCTCCACGTGGTGCCAGCAGTAGGTGAGGGCAGAGATCTCAGAAGTGGAAAGGGGCCTGGGGAGGAGCAACTGATATGCTCCATGGGTGAAGAAAGAGGGAGAGGAGTTTCAAACATGTTCCATAGGGAGTTCAAGAGCTGTTCCTATGGCATCTGGGCTTTCGTCTGCTCCGGCCAGTCACAAGGGCATCTGTGTACTGCCCCAAGTAAACCGTAGCCCTCTGCTCAACACCATGCAGGTGGCACTTTGTTCGTAAGATGAATGTGTACAGCAAGCGGACCTGAGCAGGGGAGGAGGGCTGGTCTGGGTAAGGGCAGAGCTGGGGCTCCTGGGGACCCCTTCCTCCTTCCTGTTCACTTCTGGTTGGCCATGAGGTCACCGAGGGTGTCCCTCACCCTCCTCTCACATCCACGGCCTCTGCCCAGCTCTGGCCCTGTCCTCTCCCTCCTGGACCATTTTTAGCCTTCCCCTTGCCCCATCCTGACCCCAAGGAGCCCCAACCCCCAGTTATGACCCTCCCCTCCCCCACACTGCCCCAACTTCTTAGCCAGGCTTTCAAGGCCTTCCAGGTCTAGGCCTCCCTCCCAGACAACTCACAGCCCTGCCTCGTTCTGCCTCCTGCTGGAGCACCTGGGTTTGTAGAGGCCTGGGAGGGGCCTGCCCCACGGACTTGCCATAAATCCTCCTCCATTTAGAGATGGTAGAATCGTCACCCCAAGGAACCTCTGCAAAGGTTGAGGATCCTTTCCTGCTCCCAAGATCTTTGATCTTTTGAGGGCCCCCTCAAACCCTAACTGCTCTGTGACATTGGCTCACCTTTCCTTCAGTATGACTCCTCTGAGACCCCAGCCTCTCCATGGGTTTCAGGTTGCAATCGCTCAAGAGCACTGGGTACAGACATGGGCCGAAGGGGACAGCCTGGGTGAAAGTCTTGGCGACATCTCTGCCTAGCTATGAGACCTTGGGCAAGTCTCTGCCCATTCTCTCATCTGTACAACAGGGATAATCCCGAGATCACTTTACAGGCCTGTTGGGATCACAATACATGTATAGTGGTAACTGCGGTGCCTGCCACAGCTAGGCAGTCAAACGTTCACTATTATTGTAGTTGTGAATAAATGGACAGTCTCCAAGTATACCAAGAACTCATCGCCCGCCCGCCCTCCCACCCCCAGTCTGTCTGTCTGGAATTTTCTCTTCCGCTAGCAGATTCTTACCTTCTCTAGGAAGTCTGACTCCTGATCTGCCACCACAGAGCTTTGTTCCCTGCTCTGGGACCTACTGCACCATCGCAGCCCTGAGGAACCTGGGGCTGAGATCTGTCTGCCTCCCACAGACAGGGCAGAGGCCCAACTCGTCTCTCACTCCTAGCATCGCCCAGCATGCAGGAAGGTGGCCTTAGGACACCCGGGCTCAAAGAATCAATGAGACACACTCAGAGAGCAAGGCCATCTGTACTTGTGCGTGTTCCTATCACACTGTGGGCCTCCTGGGCAGAGCCCGTGTCTGACTCACTCCTGTGTCTCCGGCATCACCCAGTCTGCAGCTGTGCACCTGGGCACTTATAGGGTTTTCTTCCACATGGGTCAAAAATGAGGTTAAGGAAGCCCAGAGAAGTCAAGTGTCTTCCTCCACCAGGCAGAGCCGAGTCCTGGGTGCCTAGAGTCCAGAAAACATTAGGGCTGGGGGGACAAGCAGAGAACCTGAAGAGGTATGGAACAGTGCCCAGCACAGACCTGGCACACAGCTGGGGCTCAGGAAGGGTTACCTGGTGTCGCTGGATAGGAGGGTGATACAGAGCAAAGAGCCTTGGCAAACTCTGCTTTGCAATGCAATGGGGTGACCTGAGTTCTCACATCTCAGACCTTTAGTCTCCCCTCGGGCAGAAAAAGGTGATGAGAAACCTGGCAGGGCTGTTCTGAGGAGTCAGTGGGTAAGATGTCAGGGTGGATCCTGGTACCCGGTGGGGGCCAGAGTGGCTTGCCAGGGGGTAGTCCCTTTTTTCCTCACAGGTACCCACACTTGCTGTTGCCACCAAACTTATTGTTACGCTTAGCTGTGTCACACAAAGGCCGTGTCCAACTGCAACAGCCCACTTGCTTCACTGGCCCCCAGTGCTGCCTGGCACAGCTGCAGCGTGTCTTCAAGTGCCAGTGGCTGGGACGTCTCGATGATGGCGATGGTCTCCCCGAGCTCGGTGCACATGATAGTCTGCTGAGGCTCAGGAGGCGGGGGTGGGTCAGAAGGCGGTGATCTGGGCTGCAGAGCCATCGTCCGAGCTCGGGCATGGACCCGCTGATGCAGTCGCAGGCCCGCCATGGCTCGGAACCAGCGGCCGCAGGTCCCGCAGTAGTAGGGGCTCTTGTTGTAGAGACCAGTAATGGGGAGACGGGGTGCGCGGGCGAACGCCACCGGCCGCAAGTGCAGCCTCCGGTGCTGCTGCAGGTTAGAGCTCTGTGTGAAGCGCTTGCCACAGTCCAGGCACTGGTAGGGACGCACGCCTGTGTGGGTCAGCTGGTGGCGGCTGAGGTTGGCCAGAGAAGCAAAGGTCTTGCCACAGGAGTGGCACTGGAAGGGCCTCTCGCCTGTGTGTGTCCGCAGGTGGTTGTGCACATGGACCAGCTTCTTGAAGCCCTTGCCGCAAACCCCGCAGCAGTGTCGCCGCTCAGGGGGCCCGTGAACTGTGCGCCGGTGCCGGGAGAGGCGGGAGGCTGAGGCAAAGGACTTGGAGCACTGAGGGCAAGGTAGCTGGGCAGGAGGAGCTGGGGGTGGAGGCGGGGGTGGGGGCTTGGCTGGAGCTGGGGAGGCTGCTGCTGCAGTGGGGGGCGCCCCGCTCTTGCCTGCATGGGTGCGCCGGTGGTAGAGGAACTTGGTCATGTTGCTGAATGTCTTGCCGCAGCGGCAGCGATGCAATGGGTTGGCGGTGTGGGCCCGCCGGTGGGCCACCAACGTGAGTTCTGTGCTGAAGCCACGACCACAGTCCATGCAGAGATAGCGGGCTTCCCCACGGTGCAGCCGCAGGTGCTGCTCCAGTGAAGCTGCTTTCTTGAAGACCTTGAAGCAGGTTGGACACTCGTGTGTGCCACCAACGTGGGCCCGCCCATGAGCCAGCAGCCGGTTTGCTGAGCTAAAGCTGCGCTGGCACTGGCTACAGCGGAAGGGGTGGGCCGCTGATGCTGAGGCACGGGATGTCCGCCGGTGTCGCCGGCGCGCCCCTGCTGAAGTCCAGTGTTGAGGACAATCCCCACAGCCCTGGGCCCAGCCGGCCATGGACTTGTCACCTCCCACAGTACTGCCACCAACCTCTGCCACTGGCGCCGCTGACTCCTCGTCCTCTGTCTCTTCATCATCTTCATCCTCCTCATCTTCCTCCTCCTCTTCTAGGCCATTGCACTCCTCTTTCTCTAGGGAGTCAAAGTGGGTGCCTTGGTGCTCCAAGAACTCCTCAGGGGTGGCACAGAGGGTACAACACTCAGGACACTCGTATGGCTCCATCCTGACTTCGGGTGGAGCAGGGGGTGGAGGTGGTGGTGTTGGGGGAGGCAGAGGAGGCGGCACTGGTGGTTCGGCTGCTGCACTGGGAAGGTGATGGGCTTTTCTATGAGCCACCCACAGCTCGGGCGAGGGGAATAGCTCCTGGCAGTCCCCACACTGGTACTGGATCTGGCTTGCAGACTCCCGGAGGTGGGTGTCCTGGTGGGCCAGGAGCTCGCAGCGGGAAAGGATGAGCTGGCTGCACTCACCACACTGGAAAGGCCCATCCTCAGTACCTGGCACTAGTTCTGGCTCCAGGCCAGTGTCCAGGGTAGTCAGCGCCTCCTCCTCTGTGCCAGTGGGCACATGCTGCTCCTGGTGTGAGATGACTTCCTCCAGTGTGTTATAGAGGCTGCCACACTCAGAGCACATGAACTGGTGGTGCTGGAAGAAGAGGGATGAGGCAAGGGCCTCCCCAGGTTTCAATTCAGCCAACTCTGTTGACATTTCTGTCATCTCCCCGAACATCGGTATTGACATCTCCACGGCTCCTGGTGACATCTGTGTCGGCATCTCGGCCATGTCAGCCACCTCAGCCACCACCTCTGCCATACCAGGGAAGACAGTGCCTGGAGAAAGAAAGGAGCTGGTGAGACACCAGGAAGCCAAGGGGAGGGGGGACGTCTCAGGAGTTCCCTTGCCCATCGTGTCACTCACCAGACTCTATCAGTAAGCAAGTCAGGATCCAGTGTTTATGCCTCAGTCTTCAATGAGCCTGTGCCTCTGAAGCTGACACATGCCCCACGGCGGCCAGGCATCTACAGGAGAGAGACAGCCCTCCTCAGTCTGGCCTCTGATGCTGCTGCGCTCTTTACCCAGAGGACCAGTCACACCCTTTCCAGCCTGTTCAGTGCCCTCTTTGGGCAGCACCTTTCCTTCTTCTACATGGAGAGACACAGACACAGCAAAGCAAAGTGACTAAGAGCCCAGGCCCTGGAACCCGGCTGCCCTGGCCTTGAATCTGAGCTCCACCACTTACTTCCTCTCTCTCACACTGTTTTCTCACGTGTGAAATGGGACTATGAGTAGTACTGACCACAAAGTCCCTAGTACTTGATAAACGTTAGATGATATCACTTGTAGTTATCCAGAAATGTTTTGGGATCTAAGGTCTTTGATGCTGCTATTCCTTCTGCCAAGAAAGGTCTCTCCTTATCTAGCAAACTCCTCCTCAGCATTTCCTTTGCGAAGCCTTTTCTAACAACACATCTACATCCTCAGGCTGGTGGTCACTCCCACCTTCTTGGGGTTCCTATAGCATCCTGTGCCACCTCTATCATAGCAATCATCATGAGCTTGGGATGAAGTCTCTGGTCTCTATGTTCCTCACTGAGCTTGTAGGCCGGACAGGGCTGAGTCGTTGTAGGGACTGCTGTCACCAGCACAACCACTGACCAGAGACAGGGATTTTAACTTTTGAATGTTTCTCTATGTGCCCCATCTCCCCTTCTAGATGTGTGGGTTCAACCCAATCCCGGCCCCTTCACATGGCAGGGGCTCAGGGTCCCTTCAGCAAATGACTGCCCCCCCCCTCCCTGCCCTTGCAGGCCTAGAAGCTTATTTTCCTACTTCGGTCTCTACTTTCTCCATCTTTTTTTTTTTTTTCCCCCCAACTCATCTGTTGGTTCCAGGAGGCAGGTGGAGTTCAGTTTACAACCCGGCACACAAAAGTTGCTCAAATTAAGCTCCCAGAGAGCAGGGATTTTAGTCTGTTCATCCCTGATACAGTTCCAATGTCAAGAACAATGCTTAACACACAGTAAGCACTGAGTAGATAGTTAATGAATAATGCTTCCTCCAGGAAGTGAGGCCCTGGGAGTTTAACTGTCTCTGTGCACATTCCACTTCTGCCAAACCAACTCTCCTATTTGACTATTCAATTCCCACAATAACAGCACAGCACAGAGCTCTGCCTTCAGTTGGTGCTCAATAAATGCTCCTTGAGTAAATGATTCACTAAAAACCCAGGAGCTAAACTTTCCTTAACTCCCTCACTAATTTTTGAGTTGCCAGGGCCCTGTACACAACAGCCATTCAATAAAGGATCTTCCTGGAAGTAGTCAACCAGGGGCCTGAGAGTTCAAGTTTTCCTTGTTTACAGCCAGACTCCAAACCGAGAACTCCGCTGGGAGGAAGGCCAGTGTCTGGTTTAAGGCTTACACAAAGTCGGCACCCAGTCAATATCCTCTTAGAAGGTGGCCCGAGAGAGCTAACATTTGGACTTTTCTCGACTACATTCCTCTCTTCCCAATCTTGGACTGTGAACTACGGAATGGGGGCTTTCTATACCGTAGATCAATAAGTCCTTTCAGAAAAGAACCCACCAGGGGCCTGGAAGTTCAACTTTCGCGCTACACAGCTACATATCCGTTTTCTCTGACCAGACGTTATTAACTCCACAACCTAAGAGCTCCCAGCGAGGGCTGGAGGCCCGGCGAGCTCAAGCATGGAGTCCTACACACTGCGGGAGCTCAACCACTGCTCCAGAGCACATAGGAAGGAGGACTCTCCTACCACTCCGCGCCGCCCCCGCCCTAGAGCAGGCCCCAAAGCTCTTCAACCCTTGGTGTCCCCTTCGTTGTCCATCCACCCTCTCCCTACTCCCAGCGCTCTGCTCCCCCGCCCACCCCGCGGCGCCCTCACCCTTCTCTCTCGCCTCCTGCAGCCACCGCCGCTCTTGACACAGACCCTCTGCTTGTGGCGTGCGGGACCCCTTACTATCCACGCCTCCCATTGGGCGGCGCCCTTACTTGTGGTGACCAATCAGAGCCGGCAGCGTAGGGCACGCGCCCTTGAGCCTGCGTGTTGAAGCTCAGGCGGGGCTCGGCGAGTTTCTCCACGCACACAACAGTGCCCTGTGGGCTGGGCTCGGAGTTCCGAGGCGCGCTTGCGCAGTTCTCCCGCGCCGCTCAGCCGACTCTGAAAGTTAAGCCTAGAGAAATGGGCACCATTGGAAAGCGAGGGCCCGCGGAGTGGACTGGGCCGCGGGAGACCTTGACAGAGGTGTCATTTCATAGCTAAAGAGACTGAGCATCTCTCCAAAAGTATAGCTTTGGAACCAGACACACTTGGAGTACTTCCCTTCTCTGGGCCTCACTTTTACCATAGTGTAAAATGGGCTTGAAGCATGTTCAAGACTTGATAGGAGTGGATGAAATCAAACACATAAGAACGCTCAGCACAGGGCCTGATACACCGTGGGTGCGCACTATAACCCATTTAACATGGACGTAGTCCTTCCCAGTTTGTTTTCTTCCCACTCTTCGGTTGTTTTAATGACATTTATTCACACTCACTGAGTGTCCGACCTAGGACTGGTCTTTAATAGGTTAAAATTGCCATTTGAGAGAGGAATGGACTCTTCCGAGTTCACTGCTGCAGCCCAAGCAGAACCGGCGCTGAGCCAGTGCTAGGCAGGACCTAGGTTTCCCGCCTCCCCAAGGGAGATAATTCCTGGAGGTGGTAACCGGTCCAGGAGGGGACTTGTCGCAAGGCACATGCAGACTCTGACCTTAAGTTGTCCAAATGGGGGGCAGGGTGGCCTCCACACCCAAGGTTCCATGACGCCTGGACGCCAACTCTCGTGCTAAGAGACTTGCTCTCGACAGAAACGTAAGTGCAGGTTAGAGAGGGCGTATTGGGAGGTTCCATGACCTTGGTGGGCAGTGACTGGAAGGGGTTCCGGTGGGAGTGCAGGGAAGAGGTCGTGATGGACACCATCAGGAGGTATTGGAGGGGCCTACTGCAATCTGGAAGGAGATGGAGGAGTCCTTGTTTTGATCAGGGCAAGGAACTTATAGATGGGGGTGGGGGGGTTTCCTGTTGAATGAGGAGGGATTCCAGTCGGGATCATGAGACGGCACAGTTGGAGGTTCCTGGTTGCCATTAGGAGTAAGGGGCAGTTTAAT